ATCAGCCTACACTATTAGGCCTATTTTCACGAGACAGTTGTTGATTCCCTTCACGTGATGGTGAAGACCACTCCGTGCTTTGTTCCGTACTGCCAGATGTAGACCTCATGGAGGTCCACGATGTATTGAGCCAACTAAAGAACGATTAGAGGCCGCTAGAGTTGATCAGCTTACACCGGCAGGGAGATGGGGGCAGTCACTGTTTCCGCTTTCTGCGTTTTCACCGGTTTAGATACCCCTCGTTTAGGACACCTCTCTGACCCCGCCTCCAAGAAGGGGGTAAGTCGTGCTTTCCTAAGTAGGCTGCCTAGATATTGCAGACTGCCACAGAATTACACTGGACCGATGAAAAGGAAATACGGCCTGAATTTGCAGGAGGTTCACAAAGAAATCAATATGGAGGCACTAACCAGATTCCCGTATCCGTTCCGGCTCGCAGGTCGAGAACGGTTACCGGCTAGCGCCGGTGAACCGGCTGCAGCTTTTTGGAGCCGCAGATGGGTGCTGAGTGCTAGAAAGGGACGACGGTGAACAACAGCAATGGCGAGAAGATCAAAATTGCGTACGTAGACTCCTTCACAATACCATTTTGACGACGAGCCAGGAGACAAGTTACGGCATCACTGGTGATTCGACTAGTGGCAAAAAACGTAAACAGTGACATCCGCGCCGTGCTTAACAAAATGATCCTTCAGCGGATGGACGACTGTGTCTTCAACTGTCAGCATGTCTTCAACGAGCCTGATATAGATAAAGACTTGCTCGTCGTGGTACAAATGGCGCTGAATGTGGGTAGGCGAAGGAGAGAGGGGCAGAAAGCCCGAAGTATGACGCACAACAGCGGTACAGGCCACAACTTAACGTCAGGCCCAACAGCGTCTACGCTGGTTGCTTCTTGCCACACCCTCATTAACTAAACTCGCTGGACTTTAGCAAAGAAAGATGAACCAGGTGGTTTCCTAACACATGATATGTGGTTTGTCCGACTGATTCTGAGCAACCGAACAACCACCCCTTGCTGGTGGAGAAAATGTTGAGCTCCTACGGAACTGATCATTGGTAGACTAATTCTGGTTAAAAGCACCTTAACACAGCCCCTGGAGAAATTGTTCCGATCTCTTGTCCACCACTTGTTTCGACTTCAGTAGTTGGGATTTACTGTCTCACGCGGAGGCGTAGCGGTTTCGTTCAGGCTGGACTAACGTACGAGGTTAGAATTAGGATTAAGCGATTTGGGGTAGGTCCTTCGGTAGTATTACTCCCTCTTTCTCTCTCTCTCTCTCTCTCTCTCTCTCTCTCTCTCTCCTCTCTCTCTCTCTCTGATCCATGGCTTTATGGATAGAAGCTAGTAAGATGGAAAGCGTAGTGAGGAAAACAAACAATCAGCTAGGGACAAATAAAGGTATATTATAATAGAAAGATCCGTAACGATCAGGTTTCGGGACACGGCTGTCCCGCTGTGCCTTGGGTCTCAAGTCAGAGCTCACACAGACAGTTGCATTGCGATTGGCGCCGTAAACCGAGATGGGAGCACCGTCCCAGTGCAAATAAGGGTGCTTCCATCGTCATCCCATCAACGGCCTGGGCTATGTCTGACAATAAACTAGCTGCGGTCTGACGCTAGATGCACCGAGTCCCCTCTCCATCAAAGAAAACTAAAAAGCTCCAAAAGTACTTACATGTATTTTGTTCAAAAGATGTCGAAGATCGAATTTTGTTGTCCGTGGTGTGTTCCATAAAACGCGACTCTTGGCAATACTGGCCCATATATAGACCTGCCCCACGGCAGAGCAGTAATACAGCATAGACGAAGTTCAGTGAAAACAGGAGTGCTGCACAGGTTAGCTCAATGCTTGATTGGCGATCAGGTGCGAGATGGCTGACCATATTGTGTTACAGGCGTTCTGCATCCTACGTCGATGGATGCACCGAGAAGCATGACCAAAGCGACCTCCGAAATTGCTCGTTAGGAATCCGTAGGACTGTTTGGTAAAAATAGGTATTACAACCGAGGTAGGTTTACTATCCATAACTGCCTACTATGTTTTTTTAAGTAGGCGTTGTTCGGTACATTGGTGTTCGGAGACCAGTCACGCCTTAAGTGCGCATTTGACGGCTTCACGAGACTAGCTCTGACAGGATGACACTATCTGAGCCAAATCGCCCCAAAGACGTGGCACTGGAAAAGTGTCAATACAGATTCATTATTCTACACCCCCAAAACGTAACTCTGGTAAAAGGCAAAAGATTAGTCCGTAATTTAGGGGATGCCAGAGGGGGCATAGAAGAATCTGGTAGAGTAAGCATGTTGAACTGCTTCACAATCATTCGTAGAAGACATTTTGGCATTCAATACGCATCCGCCCTCCAGCCAGAGTGGTGGATGAATGTCCACTCCGTGGCGACGACAACATAGACAAACGCGAGTAGTATATGACCAAGTAGGGGATAAAAACTTCAAAATGCGGCTGGTGTCAGTCAAGAAAACTATAAAATGCACCGTTTTCAGGCAAAACACGGTTGCGTGGTAGTTTCGGCAGAAATACACAAAGCGACATAGAAAATGCTTGCTTGCATTGACAGGGGATAGCCCGAATATGTGTTGTTGTAGATTGGTCGTAGCCTAGAATAATGTAATGTGCACAAAGTAATCTGCAAAATTTACAGCATAAGCTTAGTTAGATTAGGATATATAGTTTACGTATGACACAAACGAGCCGAAATGGGACTAAAAGTGTTTTACTTCATAAACCAGTATGAACCACCAGCCTGACGGTATTTGAAGTAAATTGGTCTATTTAGAGTGGGCTTTGCATAAAAATACATTTTACGGGAATAACGGTAAACAGTAGTAATTAGCATGCAGAATGTGAGCTTATTTGCAGATCAGATAGAAACAGGGTTTGTTGCTTCAGACTATGGAAATAGAACCTCGCCCAACCAGAAAACATGCGTGCTTGGAGGGGTTGGGAAACGGTAATAGTACCTTCCAGTTGATTAACGCTACAGCCTAACTGAAGGGCTTAGCGAATTACTTGTCTGTTGCCCAAAAGGCGGAAAATACGGAAATAAACATTAAGATCGTGGAAAGCAGAAGTGAATACATGCAGATCAGATGGCTGCAAATTATTCGCGAGTCAGCATGTTGTTAGGGGCAATGGAGATTCTTACAAAAGAAGAGGATGCGTTTCATTGGAAAAATTTCCAGAACTTCAAACCAATGCTATTACTCATATCAGAAGGACAAGAGAAGCCAGAAAACTTGCGATAACAGCCAAAAAATTTTCCATTTAAGATTGTTGGAAAAATCGTAGCATGCTCCCTACTTTACCATTGGGCATTACGTCTGGAACAGTGACTTTCCGGCTGAGATACCTTCGGGGTGATCTTCGCTCTCCGCAACTGTCAAGAAATGGCGGTTGGCTTTTTGGCCAATGTTGTTGATTTGACGACAACTTTCGACACACTAAAACAAAAAGTATTCTGGGGCGTAGTGAGACAGTTAGGATGCCCTGAATAGTGTGCACACATGATGATATAGCTTAATGACGACGCGAAAGCACGCGTCCTCGGCAACGGATCGACTTCATCTTGACGAAGACGATAAGGCCGATCTGCGTACTCGCTGAAACGCACGCCTACCGAGATAAATGCCTCGGAGTTGAAATCACGTATACGACTGGCCGAAGGTTCTATCCGATCCGAATAATACAAGCCTATAACATTGTTGTCAAGGCCAATATACGACGTCTTCTGTCCATTGACAACTGGGTGTTTAACGCAGACACAGAAGCGACTGCGAATTTGTGCTTTCGCTGCAAGACGCACAAACGTTGAACTGGCTGCAAATGCCGTGACCATGTGCCGGCCGGACCCAACTGTGGGTTAAAGTGAACTCTGCTGTGAACAATGGCTCCTGCCAGAGCAACAAACTCGAGAAAATCTAAGACCCACCCTCAACTGCCAACCAGCATCTTAGGATAAAACCACTACAGAATTCAACTCAGCACCATGCTGATTATGTTGCTTTTTCGGCGCATAATTGTGGACCTTCAGCGGGTGTCAGTTCAGTGAACTAGACCCATTCTAATTCAGTCATTGTTGGGAAATCTCAAAACACAATGATAAGAAGAGATCGCGGATATGCACGCTCGGCACATTTTCGGTATTAAAACAGATTTGACCGTGATGGAGAGGCCAGATTGCCGTCCCTCAAAGCTGCAGCTGGCAGGTGAAGACAAAACCGACGGTAAGACGACAATTTGGAGAACTAATTTGATTGCGTTGGATTCAGTCAAACTTCAAAAAACCCTCCTCACAGGATCAGTAGGCATGCCAAATTGCTGTGAAAAATGCAAGTGAAGACTTCGAAATTAATCGCTTGCAAGAGGTCAGTGAAGAACAACAAAACAACTGCAACGTTGAGGAACAATTATGCCGATAACCAGAACTTATCCGGCATGACCTCGTTGCCATTGAGAATCTCAGACTCGTATTGGCCTTATGTGACACATGTGCATTCGACATGATATCATCATCATCATCATCATCATCATCATCATCATCATCATCATCATCATCATCAT